TAACGTTGACGTGTTTAAGATTATAAATTATCTGTGTACCACCGACGGCACACGCCGGCGTGAACGTGTTGAAACATCCACCGCTAAGAGGCAAGCTTTCCGAGCTAGCAAAGTGACAAGCTGTTCCATTCCCGCCTTCAGCGGGCTGTATTCTTCCATCGGTAAAAAGCTTTAACACAGCTCAAAGTCAACGACGTCTCGAGGAAGAATACAAGTCGATGTTACCTTTGACACGTAAAAAGGTGCGGAATATAAACGGCGATGTCTGTTATTCGCTTTTGTTCTCCGTTTGGCTCCCTCGATCGTCCGCGGCGGCAAAGTGGGCGCAGTCAACCGTATTGTTCGAATTACTCAAGCTAATGGACACCACTTAACCGATTTTTATCCGTCGTGTTTATCAGATGAATTATCCTTCGGCACTTACGAACGAGACTCGGAACGCGTAAGTAGAGAGATCGGTGTATGATCAGACGAAGCAGTCGTGCTTCTACTTGAAATTGATCGATGGGATCAAAGGTTGTCTGAATCTTTCAGGCATATGGTGGAATGGGAAACATTATTTGATTATCTTGAGATCGCTGAGATCTGCAATGAGAAACTTAAACAAGAAAACAGGAGAGCAGGGAGGCAGATTGCACAGTTCGAAGCAGCGAGACGACTGAAACGAGTTACTCATTAATCAGAGCCTCTTAACGAACCAGCGTCCCGATTAAGGACTTCCAAGCGTCGGAGTCGGTTGAATTGAAATCGCGTTAAATTTTCGAGTTCTGGAAACCACTGTGAAACGACTGACTGATCAGGCTAATTTATCGGGACGAGTTACGGGACAATGAAACGATGATCTTAATAGGCTTCGTATTATGTTTAACGAATAACTGCGATAATTGGAGAAGGGAAGTACACGTCAAATGGTAGAATGTATTATTGTAGAATACCTAGTGTAATGATTGTGAAATTATTATGAATTGGATGACGGATTGCCTGTCTCCAAGTCAGCTAATCGAAAAACGCATGTGAATATCATTGCCTATCCGAAGCCTGGTCCGAGCGCGTTCGCCGGGATTAATTGGATTTGGCCAGAACGCAGAACGGCAAGGCGCGATTCCTTTGTGGCTGCTTGGCACACGACCGGCACGTACAAAGCTTTGTGATGCAGAAGGAAATCTGTCGTCACTCGTTACCTGACAATTATTATTAACGTCTCTGTTCAACCGGGGGCCTGATACGCACCGCGAGGAGATAGACCCCCTGCCATCGACAAAGGATCTGTCTCGTGCCGTTCGATTGAATCAAGCACATTACTCACAATGACTGCGGTGAAGCATGAATTCAATGAAACATTGTAGAACAAACAATTTGTAAAAATACAAGATTCTTCGTGAAACGTGCTAGTCAAAAAGGAATGTCAGTTGGAAGAGACTTGGGAAGATTCGATTTGGTCCTCGAAGTTCTTATTGTAAAATAAAATTGTAAATTCTTATATTTCTCCTGCGTTATTTTTAACTTGCCATTCCTTGTTTCCTTCTTTGTGATTTAACACTGCTACTAGAGTCAAACTGATTTCTGATTTCTTCATCTCGCAATTATTAAAAAGGTAAATTCGAACTGAATTAGATAGATGCACTCTTGAAGTTTCTATAGAGGAATTTCGGGCTGTAAATTAACACGTTCTGTGCCACGGAAACTTCGGTTGTATTTTGCTTATGAACTGTATTGAGTTTTTCAATGAAATAATAAATTATATTCAAGTTTCTGGTCATTTTTATATATTTAAATGATAGGAAAAACATAGTGTCTGAGTAATTAAATAATTTGTTTGCAACTCAGTCCTCGAAACATGAACATTTCATGTTGCCCAAATGTCGACATTCGTCCGCAAAGGGTTAAACTGCTCGGTAGGTTCAGTGTTAACATCTTTCGAACCGTTCGAAATGAAATCGTGGATGCCGTGGGAACGTACTTCGTCGAATCAAGAGAAGGAACGTTTCGGTCTGTATGAAGTTAAGAAAATCCGCGTATTTTTCTTTTGTGGGAGATGCTGACGTCAGGAACAAGGGATATATTCATGGACCACGTACGCGTATGCCGCGCGTCGTTCACGATCTGAAGTTCTTTCGTCGTCCGCGGCACGGTGCTCGCAAGATTTGTTTTCCTTAACGGATCGCTACTTCTCACGTAGAGGCACTAAGTTATATATGCGCATGGGAATGCAGGCTAGCGTCGTAGGGGCTTTATGTTTCGCTCGGAGGAACGTGTGCCGAAAACATCCACGCTGGGAGATCGCGAGATACGTAGCGGATTTCATTCGCGGCGGTAAACGCGGTACACGAGGGACTCGCGTGGCTAAATTGTAATCCATAAATAGGTCAAATGGACTGGTGGTAAACGTGTCATATTTCTGCTGATCGATTCATTTTTCATTCATTGATCATTGGAAAAATCTCTCGTTCTGCGCGCGATAAAATAAAAAAATTGAGCGTGTACTCGTCAAACGCAGGATGAATGCGCGTACAGTATATTTTAATGAAAGATCAAAGCGAAACAAGGAATTACATGTTTATGTGAAAAACTAAAGAATTCATCGCTGAAAGAATTAGTATCGTGTCAAGCTTTACGATGACGTGTATACTCGTCGAACACGGTTAACTGGTTAATGATCATTACTTCTGTAACATAAAAACATCTTTTCGAAACGACTTTTGAATTTTCTTTTTAAATGAAACGACCGTACTTGAATTTTGATTTTCTGTATCTATAATGAAAATTTTGTAATTATCTGTCGCGATTAATTGTAGCAATCATTGAACTGAACGTTTTGTACTAGTTGCATAGTTTACCAAGAGATTTTCGTGAAATAAATTGATGAATAATTATCAGGTTATATCATTTGTATTCATCTTTATGGTACGCCGGTCAAGAAACCGAGTTAATTGTAATTTAAGCACTTAGACTCCCTCCGAGGCGGCTGGTGAATTATTCAGATATTCTTGAATATTTCAGAAGAATTATGGAACCGACGGGATATTATTCAGTGCCGGTTTTTCGTCGAACTCGCCGCTCCGCCGACGGCGCGCGTCATTTTGAATTCCGCGGGTGGAGAAGTTTTTCATTTAATTGTGTAACACTGCACGCGAGGGGAAGCCGAAATATTCGATGTCGATTCTAAAATTAATTACAGATACGCACGTACATATGTGTCTCTCCCTCTATCCTCCTCTCTCTCTCGCACGTCTGATATTGATTAATTAATTCCTCGTGTTGCATGTTGTAACAGCAATTCGCACATGTATCATGTGTTCTCAATTTCGAACGGAACAAATGATTATTCAAATTTCATAAATAAAACGTGGGCACACCCGCCCCCGGTTCAACGCGATATAGTGATGATAACGCTTCACGCACACCCTGCGAATGACGCAAATAAATTCACGCAAATATTTCAAGTGTAAGCTAATTAATTTCACGATCAAATATTTAGCTTACGGATACTCGTTTAAACGTATCAACGAATATTCATACGTATTAATCTGTTTGTATTTTCCAATTTAACCTTAAACAGGATTGGCGCAATAAAGTTTGCTTGTAACGAAGAATAATCAGATTAACCAAACATTGTGCGTATTTATCTTTGATCTTATTAATCGCAGTTGTTCACATTACACGCTACAGTAGCTAATTCCCAGATCAGTCATAGATGTACGATTGAAAATAATTATCCTCGTTCCGCGGCATAATCGTGTAGTAACTCAAATATAATAGCTGTCCACAAATCACGGCGTTGCTCCTGGCCAGAAATATGAACAACCGACCGCAGCCACTGATTACAACCACTGATTACTATCAGCTTTCACTTTCCCGCGAAACCCCGTTGAATGGGAACCACTCGTCATTCTTTTATCTATCTTCGTATGCCCGCACTTCGTTTTTATAAATCTTCTTCCCGCAACCTGTCGTTTTGCACCGATTCTGTTCGCATCCTAAAACGCCCTTTTCTTCCCGCAATCTGTCCCATTAAAGCCTATTCTCTTGCGCCCCATCTGCCTATGTACTCCAGCCTCATCCACCAGCCCATCCTCTCGTACACTGTACTCTCGAATCCCATCCTACTACAACCTGTCCCATTAAAGCTTATTCTCCTGCATTCCACCCGACTATAGCCTATGCTTTTCTACCCCCAGCCCCTTGTTGCTTGACTCTCGAATCCAGACCTGTCTTATCCATTAGATACTTCAGACACACTGCCTTGGGGCTTGCGATAATTTTGAGCCCTGCGGGAACAGGCTAATAGCGCTGTTTTTAAAATGACTTCTGCGATTCGTACATAGGATCTATTAGCAATCGAGTTATCAGTAAATACTGCGGCCAGCGAAATGCGTCTACAAAGGCTCGTTAACCCCTTGCCGTACAATGACGAGTGAGACTCGTGATGAAGATAACTAATTTAACAAGAATCAATGTTCATTACCTACGGATCAAAGCAAATTATTTTGCTATTATCAATGCATTCTTCAAATGAAATTTCCACCTGAAGTAGAATGGAAAATTTTGTTGTATTTCTTACAAATTGTCGATAGTAAAATATTACACGAGCTTAGTAACGAAAGTAAATACGCCAAGGGGTTAAAAGATTAAAATTGTAACAGTTGATCAAAATATTAATTGAGAATATTATATTCCGCATATGAATCTTTAATCGTAATAAAATCGTTCAAACATTAAATCGTTTCCTTGGCCAGTAGAATTATTCACGACGAAGCAGCCACGAGTCAAAACGATCAGAAAGGATCGGAAGTCAATGGATTAATTGCGAAAGTCAAAAACGCCGATATCTGGTCGAAACAGCGGATATTCGAACGTCATCGCGGAATCGTCGAACGTACCGTGCGTTCGCAGAGCAGTATCTACGCGGTTTTCCATGCCGGTGATTTTATTAAAACAATAGATGGATGGAGCCGGTTTCCAAGGAACAAAGGGGGAAAGATAAAAAAAGTGGTACGTACTCGAAACGCATCCCTCAGCTCCTTCTCTTCCTGATCCTGATTGGGTGAAGCGGTCTCGTTCGCGCCGATGTTGCTCACGATCTCCACGAACTCCTCGAAGCTGACATTCCCGTCCCCTGGAAAAAAGAAAGAGCGATGACGTCACGATCATTCCTGCCTCGAGTTCCATTCCCGAGTTTCTCGGAACTCTTCCTCCCGGCCGACAAGACGAATGATGTTCTCCGTTTATTTTCGCCGAACAGCCGAGAGAGAGGGATGAAAAAGCAAAAACAAAATACTTTATCGCGCGTCGTATCACTCGCGCCATCCCGATAAAGACATTTTCCCCGAGAACGGTTTACCGCTTTTTATTTCCACGCTTTTCAGCGTGAAACTCGTTTAGCCGTTGCGCCTCGAACACCCTCGCCCCCGCGCTCGAACGTGAAAACTCAGAAGCCACGATACGGAGGGATTAGCGAACTTCGCAGCCCTAACCTCTCTCTTCTCCGTCAATCTTGAAGCCGCCGCTGCTCGGGAGAAAAGCTGCTTTCCCGACGTTCGGCTCTTTCAAACGCGAAAATCGCGTTTTCCGTCATTTGCACTCCTCCCCCTTCCCCGCGATCGCGAAACGGCGACCGCGTGAAACGGGGAGCAGACGAAACGCTGAGACAAAAGGGATACTTCGCGCGGCGGACGTTAGGGATTTCCTTATGAGCGAGTCCCGTGGGAATTTCGGTCTTAGAAAGTGGGACCGCGATTTTACGCGGAGCCAACGTTCCTTGAAACTTATCGAGTTTCGCCGCACTTTTATCCTTCTTTCCGAAACTCTTTCTATTTTCTTTTTAAGTTCTCCTTTGTCTCATTTCCCTCTAAAATACCTTCTCCCATGAGCACGAAGAATTTGGTTATTAAATGACTTCAGCATAAGGAGCGATGAACGAATTCATATTCTTCAAGTTTCATCTGAAAGGCGACTGACAATTGATTGCCAGCGTGACCCTGAAATACTGATAGCAAATATTCGGATTACCGGAAGGGAAGTTCTTTCCGCTGACTGCCCTCGGGCGAGCAGTCTTCCGCGTGCGAAAAGCGTCGCAGCTGTCGTCTAGTGCTCGCGACATTGACATTGGCGCCGAGGGAGATGACAGAATGTTTGGCTAGCTGCTCCCGGCGTGGACTTACCGTCGCTGTCGCGCGAAACTAATTTCACGAGCAATTTTTCGCGCAGATCGACGGAAGTTCGGGGCACCTCGTCGACACGGTCAGTTTGTATCGGACACGCGCGAACGTGATCGCCGGAAATTCCGATACACGACATAACGCGATCTGTCACGGCCGAACGTGCCACCTTCCGTCTAAGCTGACGCGTGTCGTTTGTCGCTGCGGGATTTTGCTCCTCTTACCGGCTACCTGAACGGATTACGCTCCGAGCGACGGGCTAAGCAAATATTGGCGGTCGCTGCGTGCGTACACTAGCAACGAGCATCGTTGCACCGATTAAGCGTCACCAGTTCGTGGTCTTTGTACCAACACTGGCGCACCGACCAAAATTCGAACGCGAGCCATCTGTCTAACGAGCTAAATCAACTATCGCCGCCGTACTAACTCGGAGGAAGTCCGTTCCCCTGGGGCTTCCGTGCAGTTAACAATAAGACGCACCATAAATTTCGTCCATTACTTCTAATTTCCAACTACAACAGTCAACTAGCAGCTACGTGTACCATTGTCTCGGGATACCAACGAGACAAATGGAATACGCGAACTCGCGTCACCGAGTTCGACTAATTACAGGATTCACTCCCCCTTCTAATAGTAATACTATATACTTCATGGGAAATTAACGCGGAGATGAATACAATATTGAATGAATCCACATTCTGCTAATTCTGTAGAAACTTAACCTATAAATACATTTTGAAGCCTAGTACAGGTGACTTCACCCTTTACCACAGAATCCTCAACGCGAATTTCTAACTCGAAACACTGAATCGAACTAAATTAACCAATCTAAAATAATCACACTTATATAACACATAATTACAACAAACAATAACACTTTACGGATACCTATGAACACCAACAGTGCATCGAAACTATTTCAGCCGAGGGGTTAAGAAAACATTCAGAACAGTTACCTATTTCCAAACACACTCATAGATAACGAAGAATAATAAAGAAACTAACATGAAAATAACGCATCAACTGAAGAAGCCCTGTGCGCATAGCGCAGTTTCTACGTTAATGACGAACGTTCACAAGGGAGCACAATTATAATATAACAGATTCACCGCGAAGAATGTCCGAAAGTGTTAATTCCAGGTCCAGAAAGCTCGAGATCCTTGATTACCAGAGCGGCCAGGTATCCGCGCAGCAGTTGTCCGTTCGTTAACGCTCTCCCTGTACTCGCAGGCTGGCGAGTTATCCCCGGGCTAAGCGTTGGCCGGATTTCGGACGCGAAATTCCAGCGACGTTACCCGCGGCCAACGTAACCGGTGTAACCGCCGCTCGCCGCCACGGAATCTCCCGTCGCATCTTAAACGGGACCGCCAGCCGTAACTTGGCGAGTTCGCCGGAGAAGGAACGTCGCGGAAAATGAGCGGTGCTCGCCCCGGATATCGCCGGCGGCCGCAAGCCTCTTAATAAATTGGACCGTGTAGCTCTGCCGGCCGATGGATCGTTGTTTCTTAACTTCGCTCGTAATTCTTTTACGAGGACACGCCGCGACGTCTGAAATCCCGGCGCAACAGTGATTTATTCGATCGAGACGTCGGTCCGCGTGCACTTTCCTATCGAAATTTTGTTCCCGTTTGTGTTATTCGTCTTTCGGAGTCGGTTTTTACGAGACACAAGAACCTTGCATCTGTGTTTTATGATTTACTTCGTAAAGAAATGAGAATTGTTTTATCGTTCGTTGTTTATCCGGCGGGGAAGGAAGTTGGTTTAATAGACGTTTGGAAGATGGAAACCGTGATTCTCTATAGGAAATATTTGCGGTTATTGAATTATAGATACATAGTTACGTTGATATCTGTATATGTTGATTACAGGAAAAACGATAGTGGATTTAGTAAAATTTACGCGAGGCGTAGCAGCGGTTAACGAGAATGCTCAAGTGAAATGTGCAGAGGTTAAAGTGTTAAGTCAACACTAGTCGAAAAGTAATGCGCGCGGTGGACGTTCCGCCGCAGAATGCAGTAGAACGAGTTAATTAAAACGGACATACCACGGCCGCCTTTGTACACTCCGCGTTTGCTTAATTAATCGTGCTCCCAGCGAGCTGTAAGCACAAATGATTTCAATGTTTCATTGGATTCAAATTTCAATAAACAATTCGGCACCGATCGCACGAGTAATGATACTGTTCGCATTCAATCGATCCCCGTACACGCGTGGTCGTTGTTCCGTTACTTGTTCCGCGGAATTGGACCGCTAATTTAAACGGACGTCATAAACGCATCAAATTTGAAAGGTATCCGCTATTAGTCCGGAGCCAAACAACGCCGCGCCCACAAACGAATTTCCTCGAACAAACACGAGCCGGCGATCGCTCCGCGGTAAAAACCGGAACGTCCGAGCGAGCCGCGCCGTTTTCGCGGATTGCGCAAGAGGGCAGAGCCGGGTTTCGAAACGATCCGACGGGAACCGTGGCTTGTTATGAATGCAGAGACGTCCGATTTAAATTCCCGGCGCGTCCGTCGCGGCGCGAGGCACGCGCGAGTATAAACGACCGAGCGTTCGTCAGAGTCGACGCCGATTAGCAACGCGTGCGGTCTCGACGGACCGACGCGTATATCAAGGATAAGCGGATCGCCTTATTCGCCGAATTTCCCCGGCGATACTGTCCGGAACACGAAGAGACTCCACGAACGCGAACGGTAACACGGAAATCATCGGGCGGACGGGAAATGGAACGTGCGCCTCGTTCAATTTGTTCGAAACTCCCATAGTGTTCGCCGTGGAAGTAACTTAAACTCCCATTAGAGTTGCCGCATCGAAACGGTATCGATATCCTCGGCTATGAGCGCTCTTGCGCGTGACTCCGGCGAACGGAATCCGCTGTTTCCGGTATGCCTCGAATATTTCGGCGACCTTCGGATCGCGAGCACGACTCGTCGATGTTAGCCTCACCGGTGGAACGGCTCGGTATACCGGCCGATTAGATTACCAACGATGCACCGACGTTCGAAGGGGATTTGCATTTCGCGAGAGTGCCTGCTCGAGTGCCAAAAGATCCCGCGGTTCTCGATGTTTTCTAGCATTCAGGGATCAGAGTGTCCTCCTTAGACTCTCGCGGAGCGTTATGGTACTTGGACGAAGTCGGAGGATGCTCCGGCCGAGATCGTCGAGGCTCGATAAGTTTAAAGTTTTCTTTTTCCGTTCGGAAAACTAGGTTCTTAAAATGCATGTTGAAAGCGTTTCCCGCAAGTTTCGAGCCAATCCGGAGCATTGACGGAGCCGCGAGGGGCTGAAACATGATCCTGGACACGCGGGTCGCGGTGCTTCCGAGTAGACAAAGCTCGTGACCAAAATATCTCAAAGGCCGATTTGTTTCGAACTTCGCAGCGCTTTGTACCCGAAACAAAAAACTGGCGTCCGTAGGCGGCTCTTCTCGCTCCGGAGATTAGTCTGCATTTTGCAGGCGAAAAACCGGCGGTTTTACTAGGAACTAAGCCTGATAACATTCATTTTTAACTCGCGCCATTTCTGTCGTTCGGAAACTCTCGCCCGACGAATCCGACGCAACTCGGCGTACCATTAAAAAGTCACGAAATCTTCTTCAATGAAATATCGGACGCGCCGGTGTAGACTCGCGTATTGATTTTTATGCACGTTTCAAGAATGCAATCTATTGTCGCGCTAAAAGCATTCGTCAGAAGTAACTGGCCGGAAAAAAATCGCGGAATTTAATATCGAGTCGGCCCGCGGATCATTCTATTCCCATCGCCGGTGATTTCTTCGACCATGAAATCCCTTGTCGAACGTGCCGTTTATAATATACCTCAGAAAGTCCCTCGAATGTTCACGCGCGTCACTTCGCGATTCCCGTTCGGCTAAACGTTTCAATTAAACGGTTATCGGTGCATCGATATTCCCGATGTCTCGGATTCCCGGATTCCCCGGAAGCAGCAGCCCGGCA